AGTCCTATTATTTTATAGTTATTATAAGTATACCAGGACTCTAAAAGAAACTTGTTTGTATAATGATATTCTATCCAAGGTATGTAGCCCAGGAAATAACCAACCTGATGCGTGTTATGACTCATTTTAAGCCTCCTATGATCACAGTTTTTAAAATAAGACTAAGGACTGGTCCTTTTCTAAGTGACACAAGTAAAGTAATAGCTAGAACAGAAGAAAGAGGGATCCCCAAAAATGTAACCTTAAAATTTAACACAGGTACTGCTGTTAGTAATAAGCAGCATGGAATGGGATGCAGTTCTCCAGATTAAGAAAAAAGTTACACGGCAAAAAAATAAGTATAGCTGTCAAGAATCAAATTGATGTGAAATGTGTCAATAGTGGTCTTGTGTCATTTGGGCTACTTAAAAATATATATATAAAAAATAAAAAAGAACTTGTTTGGCTCCAGAAAGGAAAAGTCAGCCCCTCCTGCATGAGTGGGAGCTGCAACCCTTTAGAAGTGTTCATCACAAACCCCTCAGACCCTGAACCCATGTGTAAAAATTAGTTCCCAGCACTAGGAGGATTTAAAACTCTTATAATAAAAGTTATAAGAAGAAGAAGAACCTGCTTACTGCTCCCTTGTTTGCTATCTGTACTTCTTCAAATGATAAAAGAGCTTCATTGCTACCTTAGTTCATCAAAATGCTTCAGCACAAGTATACTACATGAATCACTATCAATCTACTGCATAAAAAGACATAAGTAGGAAAAATAAGAGTGAGAACTCCCACTAATAAAAAGTGAGAGTCTCAAAAGGGTGGAATGAGGAAAGAGAGAGATCCTCTCATATTGTTTTATATTGTTTTATACTCAGTACCTGTTCTAAGAAAAAAACAAGGAAGTAAAACCAAAGACAGGCAGCACAGTGCCAGGCCCAAAATCAGGCCTGGACCTGCCTGGCCTAAACCCAGTAGTTAAAAATCAACTCATAACTTAGAAACCGATATTATTCATAGATTCCAGGCATTGTATAAAAGAACATAGTGAAACTCCCGGTCCTGTTTTGTTTCTCTCTGACAACCGATGCATGCAACCCCTGTCACATACCCCTTGCTTGCTCAAATCAATCACGACCCTTTCACGTGAAATCTTTAGTGTTGTGAGCCCTTAAAAGGGACAGAAATTGTGCACTCAAGGGAGCTTGGATTTTAAGGCAGTAGCTTTCTGATGCTCCCAGCTGAATAAAGCCCTTCCTTCTACAACTTGGTGTCTGAGAGGTTTTGTCTGCAGCCCGTCCTGCTACAACTCCTGTGATCCCAGCACTTTGGGAGGCCGAGGCAGGTGGATCACGAGGTCAGGAGATCTAGATCATCCTGGCTAACACCGTGAAACCCCGTCTCTACTAAAAGTACAAAAAATTAGCCGGGCGTGGTGGCAGGTGCTTATAATCCCAGCTACTCGGGAGGCTGAGGCAGGAGAATGGCGTGAACCCGGGAGGCGGAGCTTGCAGTGAGCCGAGATCGCGCAGCTGCACTCCTGTCTCTTATACACATCTAGATGTGTATAAGAGACAGGATCCGGCCACTGCACTCCAGCTTGGGCGACAGAGCGAGACTCCGTCTCAAAAAAAAAAAAAAAAACAAAGAAATTGCAGAAGTAAACTTTCAGAGGGGATGAATTTTGTTTGGTTTATTCTAATATGCCTTCTGTTTTACAAGGAACACGGTAGACAAATGTTTGTTGTAGTACAGTGCTACTCAAAGTGTAGCCTAGACTGGCAACCTGCAAACTCTTTGCCCATCTTGAAGAGATAAGGAATTTGCAGCAGAACCAGTGCACTACCACTTTTAATGAGAAAGTCTCCTTATGGGCCAGGCTCAGTGGCTCACTCCTGTAATCCCAGCTCTTGGGGAGGCTGAAGCGAGTGGATCACGTAAGGTCAGGAGTTTGAGACTAGCCTGGAAAACATGGTGAAACCCTGTCTTTACTAAAAATGCAAAAATTAGCTGGGCGTGGTGGCACATACCTGTAGTCCTAGCTATTTGGAAGGCTGATGGAGGAGAATTGCTTGAACCTGGGAGGCGGAGGTTGCAGTGAGCCCAGATCACGCCACTGCATTCCAGCCTGGGCAACAGAGCAATACTCTGTCTCAAAAAAAAAAAAAAACCTCTTTATGAAGAAAAGATGAACTGAACTAAACACGGTGATTAATGATACTATTGGTTTACATTCTGATTCAACTCCTTATTTTGTCATAGACCAACACTTTAAGCAGATTTGAGAAAAGAAGTAGAGAAGTAGAGTTTTAGAAGTTGAGAAAATGGCCGGGTGCAGTGGCTCAAGCCTGTAATCCCAGCACTTTGGGAGACCGAGACGGGCAGATCACGAGGTCAGGAGATCAAGACCATCCTGGCTAACACGGTGAAACCCCGTCTCTACTAAAAAAAAATACAAAAAACTAGCCGGGCGTGGTGGCGGGTGCCTGTAGTCCCAGCTACTCAGGAGGCTGAGGTGGGAGAATGGCGTAAACCCGGGAGGTGGAGCTTGCAGTGAGCTGAGATCCGGCCACTGCACTCCAGCCTGGGCGACAGAGTGAGACTACGTCTCAACAACAAAAAAAAAAAAGTGAGAGAAGACAGGATGCTCAGGAAATTATTTTCTGATTCATATAGTCTGTCAAATCAAAATATGCTAAGTACCTCATCAAAATGTAAAGCCTCTGCAAAAGACTCTTTAAGAGGATGAAAAGGCCAGGCGCGGTGGCTCACAGCTATAATCCCACCACTTCCAGAGGCCAAGTGGGTGGATCAGTTGAGCCCAGGAGCTCCAGACCAGCCTGGGTATCTGCTGAAACCCCGTCTCTACAAAAAAAATTTGAAAAATTGAGCCAGGTGTGGTGGTGTGCACCTGTAGTCCCAACTAGTCAAGAGACTAGGGTGGGAGGATTGCTTGAGCCCAAGAGCTCAAGGTTGCAGTGAGTGGTGATCACACCACCATGGCTGGGGGTGGGGATGGGAAAGGATGAAAAGATGAATTACATACTAGGGGAAAATATTTGTAAACCACGTATCCAACAAAGGACTATTGTGTTTAGAATATATAAATGACATTTGGCCTGATGCAGTGGCTCATGCCCGTAATCCCAACACTTTGGGAGACCAAGGCAGGAAGATTTCTTGAGGTCAGGAGTTCGAGGCTGTAGTGAACTATGATTGCACCACTGCATGCAGCCTGGGCAACAGAACAAGACCCTGTCTCAATAATAATAACACGCGGGTGTGGTGGCTCACGCCTGTAATCCCAGCACTTTGGGAGGCTGAAGTGGGTTGATTGCCTGAGGTCAGGAGTTGGAGACCATCCTGGCCAACATGGCAAAACCCTGTCTATGCTAAAACTATAAAAACTAGCCAGGTGTGGTGGCACGTGCCTGTAACCCCAGCTACTCGGGAGACTAAGGCAGGAGAATCACTTGAACCTGGGAGGCAGAGGTTGCAGTGAGCCAAGATCACACCACTGCACTCCAGCCAGGGTGACAGAGCGAGATTCTTGTCTCAAGAAAATAATAATAATAAAGAAGTATCAAAACTCATTTTTGATACTTTTAACAAAACAAAACAGTAACAAAAACATTAACAGACATTTTACTAAATTAACAAAAACATTAACAGACATTTTACTAAAGAGAACGTATGGTTGGCAAAGAAGCACATGGAAAGGTGTTTAACATTAGCCATTAGGGAAATGCACATTAATGACACAGTGAGATACCACTGTATACCTAGCAGAATGACTGAAATAAAAAATAACAACTTTAAATGCTAGCAAGAATGCGAAGAAACTGGATCACTCATACACTATAGTGAGTATGTAAAATAGTGCAGCCACTCTGGAACATAGTTTGGCAGTGTCTTTTTTTTTTTTTGGTAAAATTACATAGAGCCACACGCAGGTATAAATATGAGTAGGTATACAATTGGTAAAATCTGTGGGATTTTACATAGGGAAAATTACATAGAGCCACACACAGGTATAAATATGAGTAGATATACAGTTGGTAAAATCTGAATAACCTCTGGATTGTACCAATACCACTTTTCTAGTTTTACTACTGTAATGTAGTTATGCAAGACATTGACATTGCAGGAGGCTAGATGAAGAGTGCATGGAACTTCCCTGTACATTTTTTTTAAATTAATTTATTTATTTTTGAGACGAAGTTTTGTTCTTGTTGCCTAGGCTGGAGTGCAATGGCACGATCTTGCCTCACCGCAACCTCGGCCTCCCAGGTTCAAGCAATTCTCCTGCCTCAGCCTCCCAAGTAGCTGGGATTACAGGCATGCG